TAGGCCATTTGCCATAACCCTTTTAGAGATACAGTAGATTTTATTTATTTCCATGCTTGATTGACATTCACTTCACAAACAGGGTTGTTGTTCCATTGACATATGCCATAGACATTTGTTTGAAGCGAAAAAACTACTGCATTTCATGTTGGATGCCCTGGAATTCATGCACCTTGGGCTAACGTAAGGTACGTATAAACTTAAGAATATAGTTGTAACATGTAGTTTACAATGTAGCAATTCAGACCTAACCCCCATACCCTGCTGCTATGTAACATATTTTGATCCGACCCGACCCGACCCGTGGTGTAACCGACCCGGTAACGGGTCACAAATACCCGTTCCCACGGGGCGGGTCGGGTCACCAAAACAGAGTCAAACCCGACCCGCTAACCCGACCCGACCCGACCCGTTAAGCTAACGGGTCGCCCTCAACGGGACGGGTCGGGCCGGGTCGGGTCAAATGCCCATGCTTACCCAAAGTGTTGAAATGGGCAGGAAGTGAAAGGGTGCCCGCAGGACAGGAGAATGGGTCAACCCATGTTGGACCACCAGACCATGGGCGGCTGGCGGTGAAGTTAGGTTGACCATTAATAGACAGGGGTTTAGGGTCTTGACCACATACAGACCCTTGGGTTCAAAATCACAGACCACTCAAAGGGGGACAGAGGCCAATCATTGTAGGGGCTTGAATATTTGTAGGGGTCGTCTTGACCCCAGACCAGCCATTGGGGGATGAGAGAGTGCTGGCGTAAGCTCGGGTGACAATTGGAATCTGCTGTCTTTCGAGATCGCTTGGGTGACAAGAAAACAGGCCGTCACCATAGTGCGACGCTCCACTAGGAGCACACTGAATGAGAACACTGGTTGTCAGTCATACTGACCAATAAAGATTCACAATGATATTTGGAGGAGCCCGTGGTAGTGAGGTAATTTTTTTAGCCGAGCACCTCAAATTTCAACCGTACTGACCATAACGAGTCACGGTAAAAGTGGGTTATTCTGAGAAGCTTCCCTCTCATGCCTGCCTGGCTAACCTCTTCACTCCCCAACATTGTGATGCCCACCTGGTGTGCGTGAACACAAACATTCACAGACATGCACACACAAACGCACACACACACACACGCACACGCGCACGCATGCACACACACGCACACGCACGCACACATGCTCAGACACGCGGACACACGCACACACGCCGCACGCGCACACACGCACACACACGCACACGCGCACACATGCCCACGCTCACCCGCGCGCGCGCGCACCTGCACACGCACGCACATGCATGCACACGCATCCACACGCACACGCGCACACGAACATGCGCACGCACGCACACACACAAACACACACACACACACACACACACACACACATACGGGCAGAGGGAAGTAGACGCTAAGAATTACGGATTGAAAGACAAGAAGCCCGAAAGTCAAGAAGCCCCGACACGAGAGCGCGGACAGAGGGAAGGAGACGCTAAGAAGGACGACTGGAAGCAGATAGATTAACACAGCATCACTAGAGACAAACAAAGGGTAGAAAGGTAAAGGTGACGGATGTGCGAGTCATGACCAACCACACTGGAGGGCGATGTGATGCAAAGGACGGAAAATGGAGCAGGAGGGAGCAAAGGGTCAGGCGAGATGTAGAGCATGAACAGTGGGTGTAGAAAGGAGAGTAAGGTGGGGCATGGAGCAGGATGGGGGGCATTGTGATGGAAGGGGGGCGGCACATTACACGTACAGCAATGGGGCAGGAGTTTCCTGGAACCTTCACCGACCACACCTCCCCTGGTTGGAACGCTGGCAAACCTTCGACAGGCACCTGCCGCCAGGGACATTGTAGGTGGGGGACATCGTAGGTGGTGACCAGGGGGGACAGCGGGGTTTTGGGGAGAAGGGGGGTGGGGAAGAAGGGAAGCGAGGGAGGTTAGTGATGGGGGAAAAGGAGGGGGGGTTAAGCACCATGTGTGGTAGTTGTGCGAGAAGGTTATGAAACAAGAGCTCGCACTGCACTAGGTGGGTGCTGCACTGCACTATACCCTGACCGTACCTCCACGCCTGGCGCCATAAGGTCAGCCCCCGAAAGAAGATTCCGGGAAACGTCCTCGCCCGTGAGAAGGAACGATGGCAGCAGGTCGGGTACACGCCACAGCGCAAACACTGCGCATGGATGGGGAGTGGCTGGGGATGCAGGGTTGGGGTGAGAGGATCGGTGCGACAGCTGACTCTTGAGTCGCTTCAAACGCCACCTCCTCACCCTTGACTTGAGCAGGAGGGATGGCACGCTTCGCTGCGAAGACACTGAGGATCGATGGGGTGTAAGGTTGCAGGGTGTGGGTGTGTCAGGGTTGGGTACAAGACGTCTCAAGATGGGAGTGGAGGAAGGGGGGAAAACATCAAACCTACTGAAATCATTACACCCGCACGAGGGTTGGGAGGAAGAACAGTGGAAAGGAGCGGGAAGGGAGGGAAAGAGAAGGTGGGGAGGGAGGGGTTTCCGCGAGTGTCAGGGGGGTTACCAGTGGAGTAGATCTCCGTGCCGCGGCCGTCGCAATCTAAGAGCATGGGCAGCCCGTTCTCGAGGCCGTCGCAATCTAAGGCCCCCGTCCCTCCTTTCCTCCTATTGTTGCCGTAACCCACCTTTTTTCTGTTTCTGCTGTCGCTATTCCCGTCCCTCCCCTCCTTTCCCTGCCGCTCCGCCTCTTTCCTCCTTTCCCTGCTGCTGCTGCTGCTGCTTGTCCCTTGCTTTCCCTGCCCGGGTGCCCCCCCCCCCCCTCCCTTGCTTTTTGCTGTCCCACTCCCTCCCTTTTCCCTGCAGCACCTAGCTGTGCAGGCGCGCCCCTTGCATTGGGCTCGCCCCATCAGCCATGGCTCGGATGACTGCAGTGGCCATGCTGCTGCCACGCCTGCTCGCTGGCTTTGTTATCGGCGCTGCCATCGCATTCATCAGCATCATACCACTTGCAATGTTTTCTGGTTGCCGTTTCCCATCTCCCGAGGGCGTGAGTAGTGGTGACGGATGTTGGTGCATGCATCAGGTTGCGTTGCTCTTCCACATGTCAACTAATCCATACCCACCCCAACCAGCTCACCCAGTGCGTGTTTCCCATATCGCGTCGAACTTGTATTTTCAAGGCTGCGTGCCTCGTCTCTCAACGTGCACCTTTCTTTGTCGCGACTTGCAGCAATCACGTGACACCGACAGCCAACAAGTCAACCACCCCCCGATGCTGCTCTCCTTTTCACTTAACCATGTAAGTACAAACCGTGCCAGCATCATACTGATGTATTCTTTGGCTGTTGAATGCTGTCTGTTATCTACTTCGATGGTTGACAGCAGAATTGACACATCGTGGACTCAGACTGAGCTGTTTTACGTTTCTTGTGTGCTTGCATGATGTGTTGTGTGTACGTGTGTGGGTGTGTGCATTTTATTCGTCGCTCAGGCCAATGTGACTGCAACGTCTCAGAATGCCACGAGCCTACCTTCCACTCAGATCAAGGCCGTCTCCTCCGCCCCTGAGCATGGCCACGCTCGCAACGCGCCTCTTTACTCAATCCACACCCTGGTGCGTGTTGACATTACTCTGCGGCTGCAACCAAAGTTCTGTTTGGATGTCTCCCTTTTTTTTTGTTTTTCTTCCCACTCACACATCAATCCCTACTCCTCAATTGTCCCACATCTGCAGTCTCCGGGTGCAGTTTATATACTCCTGCTGTATTCTGCAATTGCTACGCTCGGAACTTTGCTGTGGGGGATGGGCGTGACACACTCGCAAGTCAGAGCATGGGTGCATCAGCAGGGCTTGGCTGTGACGGCTGGGGTGATGAAGCTGAAAAGTGCAAGCAAGTGCCTCCTGGTATGCCATGCGCTCTGCCTTCCACCCCTGTAGCCTTGTCTCTCTCCGAAGCTCAGAGCACTCTCTCCCACTCCTCCCTACCCTCACTCCTACTGCGGGCGTTCCTCTTCCGTCTCTCATCCTCCTCTTCTCTCCCCACTCCCTTCACCACTCATCCTGCCTTCCCCCCCTCGCCCTCACCATGCTGCAGCCACGTGGGATCTTCTTTCTGCTGCGCAGTCCTATGTGAGCATGCCCCGCCTCACCATCGTTTTATCACATCTGGTCTTGATGCGTGCATGCTTGGAATGCCCATGTGTCTCCTCTTCCCTCATGTCATGATCCTGAATGTTATCCTGTTGCCGTTGATTGCGTGTGCTCCAATATCTCATGCCCACGCCGTTGCAATACTGTCTTGGAGTTTATGCCTTGCATCTGCCACATATCTCCTGATCATTTAAAGTTGTGATCAAGGTGCAAAAAAAGGCCGAAACTTTGAAATTCCGGCGTAAAAAACGGTATCGTAGTTTTCGGTCGTAAAAAACGGTTTAAAACGGTAAAACCATGTCATTTTGTGCTGGTGCAAAAAAACGGCCGTTTTTTTCGACCGAAACTTTGAAACCATCGTTGTAACTCATAATTAGTGGGTTTTTAAAGGGGATAGGAATTGCTTGCCGTTTTCATTGTCGATTTCCGACATGCGGCTCGTTGATTTTTCTCGAGCCGCGAATTCAGTCTGAACCGAGTCGCGCATTTCAACATTTGACGACACGATTACATGTTTCGCCACATGCGAACCGTTTTCGCGCCAGCTGACAATGTGTTTTCTCGCATACAGAGGGTGTCGCAATTTTCGCGCAATGCTAATGCAAAGCGCGACCAATCAGAACACCCCTACAGTGTTGGTCGAGTCGCCCCGAATGCAGTATTTCGCGATCGCGAACCGAAGACATTACCCGCTTCGTTAATTTTTCAAATTTTCGGGCTAGAAGCGAAAATGTTTCGTGCATGCGGGGTGTGTCGCAAAGCGCATGCCACTCGAGAGTCGCGACTAATCACAGCAGCCCAAGCCCAATCTTCCGAAGTGAGTTGCTCATCCTCAACTCGACAATGCACTTTAGCTCCCGAAGTACAAAGAGGCTCTGTCCAGGAGCATTCGTCGAGGAGCGTTCGTCCTTCGAAGACGGCTCTAATGGAGAGTCTACGTCCACTATGGAGGTGCAATTACCCCGGCGCTCACGGCAGCGGGACATTCGGGAGATGGCCGACGTGACAGCGCACGGACGCTTGGACTACCTGTGGGCGGCTGCTGTGGCGGAAAACGACCTGGTATTTAGGACGTCTTCGTCTAAGGCGATGCAAGCGTTTGTGGATGCAGTCGCCGCATTCGGGAAGGCCTACACCTTACCTTCGGCATACAAGGTGGCGGGCCCACTTGTCAAGTTGAAGCTCGACACGGAGGAGCTCATCAAGCCAATCAAAGAGAGTTGGCCGAGAAGCGGATGCACCCTCACGATGGACGGTTGGACGTGCCTCAAAAGCCGGGGCATGATTTGCGTCATCGCCCAAAACGACACCGCGCCGGTGATTGTGGACTGCGTCGACTCCAAAACCGCGAAGAAAACTGGAGAGTACCTCGCGAAGCTCATCCAACATGAGATTTGCGAGGTGGGGGACAGCCATGTTGTCCAAGTCGTCATGGACAACGCGGCTAACAACAAGCGCGCGGCAAACTTGCTCAAGGACAAGTACCCGCAAGTCTTCTTCACCAATTGTGCGGCCCACGTCTTGGACCTCATGCTTCACGATATGGGGAAGGTCAAGGCGGTGAAGAGGGTCCTCAACCAGGTGCATCGGGTTGTGATGATGGTCAAGGGGAGTGCCTCGGCCGTCACACTTTTCCGTGAGTTGTTTAGCAAGCTAGCGCTTGTCCGCCCTGGTGCTACTCGTTTTGGAACGCAAGTGATCATGATCGAGCGTTTCCTTGAGGTTAAGAAGGCATTGAAGGAGATGGTGATTAGTGAGGAGTGGAAAAGTGTAGCGGTGGCGAACACGGAGGAGGGGCAGGCTATACGTGGTCTCCTCTTGGAGGAGACGTTTTGGGACTCCGTCACGGCCATTCTCGGCCTCATGAAGCCCATCTACGAGGTGCTACGCATCATTGACCGGCGGTCCCTTGTGATGGGGAGCGTCTACGGCCTCATGCTTGAGGCTACGGTCAAGACCAACGAAGCGGCAACGAAGGCGGGTACGTTCAATGTATTAGACATATGAATCAATTAGTTCAACGATTCTGTCCCTACCCTACACCAGCCACTCCGACGCTATTACTCACCATGAATTTATTGCTCTTACCGCGTGCGCAGCTGCCCAACTCTCCAAGAAAACCGGTTTGCTTCCGGGAAACGAGAAGGCCGCGTTTCTTGCTGCGTTTAAGGCTATCATAGCCAACCGATGGGACGGACAGTTGCACAACCCCCTCCACGCCTTGGGGTGGCTTCTAAACCCGAAGAACCAGCTAAGTTGGAATATACGCTACTTTCATTTTGCGTTTTGCGTTTATACGCTTGTCGAATTCGTACGTTGCGTATAGTTTGAAAATTCGCCGAGTTGAACTTCGGGCAGACCGAAAAATTTCAATCTGAAGCTCGCGACGTGGCGGTCTCAATTCCGAGTCGCAGATGTCGCGAAATGAACTCAAAATTTGAATTTCGAGCACCAAACCTCATCAACCCCTCCCCTCAAACGTTTCACACCCCTTTGAACCACAGCATTCCACCATCCCCTCCAAGTGCTACTTTACTGGTTGGGAGCTCAACCCAACCCAATCTCCCGGGCATAAAGAGAGGCGTTTGTTCCCTCGACATTCATTCTCTCGCTTCCTAGCTATGTCCTTTCCCAAGCCACCATGGCTTCCACTCTTACAGCAACCACTTCTCGTACGCCACCCTCAGAGTCTCCTAATAGTTCCGCTGGTGGGACCTCTTCTAGTACGTCTTTGGTCTGCATGGACAGCAAGCACGCTGTCTACCGTCACTTCAAGGTGCCGGCCAATAGCGTTGGCGAGAACGGCACCAAGGTGTGTGCCTACTGCAACTTCACGTTTGTTGGCGGGGTTCACCGTTGCGCGCAGCATATCACCAGCTGGAACGGCATGCGCCGTCGCGAAGTGCATCTCTGCACTGCAGCGCCAAAGACTGCACGTGACGCCGTGAAGGCGCTTTACGAGTCCAAGTTGAAGGCCCGTGAAGCGAAGCGTGCGGCTGAAATTGCGGCGGTCGGCGCAGTCAACGGCAGAGGTTCGGACAAGAAGAAGAGTCGGATGTCCGACTTCTACGGCGACGACGCCGCGTGCGCGAACCAAGCTGCGGACGAGGCCATAAGCCTCTTCTTTGCCGCTCTTCATGTGCCGGAGCATCACGCGGACCACCCACTGTGGCGGAATGTGGTCTCCAGCATCCAGCGCGCGGGGCCGAATTACGTCGCGTCGAAGAGACGCTACATCGGTGGCGCCGGTCTTGCAAAGTGTCGCCAGCGCATTGAGGCGGCGCTCGCTCCTATCTCAGCAAGCTGGCGCCGTGACGGTGTCACCGTGGCAAGCGACATGTTCTCCGACAAGGCCGACCGCCCGCAAGCCAACGTGCTCCTCATCAACGATAGCGGTGCGGTGTTTGTGGAGTCGATCGACACGAAGATGGAGATGAAGACCGGGGGCTACATCGCGGGCATCTTGCGGCCCATCATCGAAAAGGTCGGCCCCGAGAATGTCGTCGCCTTGTGTTTTGACGGCGGCTCCAACTATGCGGCGGCATGCAGGGTGTTGATGCGCGAGTATCCCGACATTGAACACATCCCTTGCGCGACCCATGTCCTCGATCTCCTGATGGAGGACATCGGGAAAAAGGGATGGGCGAAGGACATCGTCATGCGCGGGGACACCCTCATCTCGTTCGTCCGCAACCATCACTTCACCCGGGGATACATGCGGAGTCCGCTCGTGAACGGCGGCAAGGGGAAACAGGTTCTCAAGCCCGCGGGAACCCGATTCGGCACCAACTACATCGCCATCAACCGCCTCTGTGAAGTGCGCGCCGGCCTGACGCAGATGGTCCTTAGCGATGAGTGGGCCGAGTGGACTGCGGCTGTAGACAGGGCTGGGGCAGACACATTCAAAGACAACATCCTCGATGCAGCGTGGTGGACGCGCGCCGAGTTCTTCACTAAGCTGATGAGGCTGCCATTCGTCGTCATGATGGGTCGTCTCTACGACCTCATGCTCCAGCTCACCGAGGACATCCGCGACTTCCTCGACGAGCATGCGGAAGGGGTCCTGACAAGCGACGAGGTGGGGGATATTCGGGAGATCGTGCAGGACCGCTGGGACAACGGGTTGGCGTGCAACCTGCACGTGATTGGCCGCATCCTCTACCCCACCAACCAGGAAGAGTGCATTTTCCGCACCGACCTGGAGTGCACGAGGGTCTTCAAGCAGTACGTCTCCAAGCACAATGGTGACAAGACGGTCACCAGGAAGGACGGGGTCGAGCGCCGCGCCTCTCTCGTCATCCAGGAAGGCCTCAATGCCTTCCTGAACCTCCAAGGCAGCTTCGGCATGCCCGACGCTATTGCCGACCGCCAGGCAGTGAAGGAGGGCAAGATGACGGCGGTGGACTGGTGGACATGGCACGGGACCGATCATCCTGAGCTCACCACCATGGCTTGCCGCGCCATCACGCAGCCGGTGTCTGCGTCTCCATGTGAGCGTAACTGGGCGAAGTTTGATGCAGTGCATACGGCAAGGAGGAACCGCCTCGGCGCGGTGAAGCTTCGTGACCTGGTGTATGTGACGCACAATTGGCAGGTGGTGCACAACTGGCACAAGGCCCCTGAAGGGCTGGGGGTGGTGAAAGGAAACATCGAGGACCCCCCCACTCCGGCTGGCTATAACGTCCCGGAGGAGGTGGAGGAACCTGAGGAGGGCGAGGATGATGTGATGGCAGATGAGTACTAGTGGATGGAAGGCTCCATGCATGAGCGGCAGGCGGGGGATGGAGGGTGGACCTGAGTAGAGTAGGGGATGGGGGGGTAGTAGCATGATTAAGGTGGGTAAAGTTGTAGCGGCAGATTAGTTTTAAGGGTTTTTTTTTCCTGTAACTTTCATATTAATACAAGGGGGATGGGGGTTACAACACCCCCCCATCCCCACCTCTTACCCCAAAAATCTGCCTGGGGAAAACTTTTTTCCTGCCCGGGCAAGCGGATTCTTGTGCGTACCAGACCCCTCAGGGACTGCGGTTTGCGTATATACTCTAGCGTTTATGCAGCAAGCGTACAAAACGCTAAACGCGTATATTCCAACTTAGAGAACCAGTACGTAGGCGAGATTCGGGAGGATGTGGAACTGAGGGCGGGGGCTGAAGAGGTGTTTAAGGCAAGGGGGGGCAGTGTTGAGATGCGGACGATGCTAGCGGTGCAACTAGCCGCTTTTCACAAGGGAGAGGGGAAGTTGGGGTCTGTGGATGCGCGGTGGGCTGCCACCATCTTCGTGGAGAGCGGGAGGCTCTCCGCGGCTGAGTGGTGGGCGCTGTATGGGGGTGAGGTTCGTGCTTTGCAAAAGATTGTGGTGATGTTGCTCTCCCAGCCCGTGACTTCATCCGAAGTCGAGCGGTACTGGTCCGCTCTCGCAAGGGTCCAAAGGCGAGACCGCAACCGGCTGAATGCCACGTCCATGACGGACGTGGCATTCGTGGCATTTGGCCAGCGAGCTCGGGAGTCCTATGACAAAAAAACAGAGGCCCGTGCTAAGCTCTACAGCGAGTTGAGCAATGGATCGCTGCAGCAGGGCAGCACAAGCGTGCTTCTTTCTCTTCCGGTGGAGGTGGAGGTGGATGAGGAGGAGGAGGCGGGGGGGGAGCCGTGTACCATTGACTGGGACACCTTCGGGAACATTGGCAAGCGGGTGACTAAAAGGAAGCGCGCAAATCTGAAGAAGAAGAAGAGTGCTTCCAAGGGCAGCGGGTCCCGCAAGGGGAAGGAGAAGGTTTGTGAGGAAGAGGAAGAAGAGGCGGAGGATGGGAGCAGTGATGATGACAGTGGTCCGGATGAACCAACCAAGCGGAAGAACAAGGGGGTGAATGCGTGGGATTGTAGCGACGGGAGTAGCGGGGAGGAGGATGACGAGGAGGATGAGGAAGAGGAGGAGGATTAGGACTAAGTAGGAGGAGGGGGCTGAAGGATAACTTATCGGTAAGTGGAGGGGGCTGAAGGGTAAGGACTAGATCAGAGGAGGGGGCTGAAGGATAAGGACAAGGTAAGAGGGGGTAGAAGGAGTAGGAGTAGGTAGTTAGGAGGAAGGAGGAGGGACCTGACTGTGTTTGCTCATTTCTGACTAGTTTTTAGCATGTTACAAACCGTTTGTATGCTGCCCTGTTCTGGAATCATCTATGAACCCTTTCTGTTTTTTTTTTTTTGGCACAAAAATCTCCAACAAAAAAACGGCCGAAATTTTGAAAAAACAGCGTAAAAAACGAGCGTTTTAAACGGAGCGTATTTTACCCCAACCGGAATTTTGAACCTTGGTTGTGATCAGCGTCTTTTCATCTCCAGTGCTGCCAAAGGCTGACGACTCACGGCTAAAGTGTTCGCATGTGCTACCATGTGTGTGTTCGCATGTGCTGTCATGTATGTGTTCGCATGTGCTGTCATGTATGTGTTCGCATGTGCTGTCATGTATGTGTTCACATGTGCTGCCATGTCTATATGGCAAGATTAAGAGAAGGTATTGAGTCCGCCATTGCCAGAACACATGAATTGAGTGAGGCAGTTGAGATGAGAATGAGGGCGCTTAGCGTGCAGCTGGAAGATACAAGGATGGAGTTGGCAGCAACCAAGGGAGAGTTGGAGGAGGCCAAGAGGAGACGAGGGGTGGAGATAAGGGAAATGAGAGGGAAGGTGGAGGAGAGGGAGAGGGAGCTGGTCGCAGTGAAGGGGGAGCTTGCTGCACTCAAGATCTCTGTGACAGAGCGAGGGGATAAAATTAGAGCAGGATTGGCAAGGGAAAGGGAGGAGAGGAGGATGGAGGTGCAGGAGGTTGAGAGGAGAAGAGCAGCAGACTTGACGGAAATGAGAGGACAGGTGGAGGAGAGGGAAGAGGAGCTGGCTGCAATGAAGTGGGAATTGGCTGAGCAGAAGGATGCTGTCATGAAGTTGATTGTTGACCTGAAAATCAGCCAGAGTGTAGGCGATCAGAAGACTGCATGGGAGGTGAGTGCTGTGTGAACGTTTTCGCAAGGCTTGAGCGATTTGACAGGTCATGCATTCACGATGATTATTCCTGTTTCTAACTTTCATTCCCTCTTCATCCATGACCTCCAGCGAATCAAGGCAGCATCACATGAAACTGATTTGGACCTGAGACATTTCCATGGCATCGCGGACAACATTCTCGCCCATGTGTCCACCATGACGAATCTGACAATGATTCATTTGTACAAAAGCTCGGGCTTCAGTGCAGAGGGCATTAAGCACCTCTACAGTCTGCCACGATTGGAGGTGCTAAACCTCAACAGTACAGACGTCTCAGACAGTGCCTTGGAAGGCATTGGGTCCTTGACCAGTCTCAAGCAGCTTTATCTCTGGGACACCAAGGTGACTGATGCTGGTTTGTCGCACTTTTCAGGTCTCTCTCTTATAGGCCTGGGCCTTTGTGAATGCAAGGGTGTGACATATGCTGGTATGGTGCATGTGGGGAGGCTGACAGGGCTCGAGAAACTTTGGTTGTATGAGACAGCAGTCACAGATGTTGGGCTGTGCCAGTTGACTTCCCTGACCAAGCTGACATATCTCTGGACGCCAGACGGGGGTCGGTTCGAGAATGATGATGTACGCAGGCGAATAGGCAGGTAGAGTGGTATGGAGGGATGATGGAAAAGGAGGTGAGGTGCTGGATGGGTTGACTGTGACTGTCTACGGGAAATCGAGGAGAGGCATGGAGGCAAGGGGTGTGAAGAATGAGGGGAGCCATACGGTACATGCAGAGGAGTGGGGCATGGAATGTTGGTTGGTTGTACACGGCTGTATGCTGCAGAGAGTTGGAGAATGGTCCAGTGGAGCTCGTGCCTTGCAGTTGGACAGAAGCATGTGCAGGGCTTGTTGGGCAAGAGTGCAGGTGTGCATGAGGGGAGCTGCGTAGGATTTGCCTGCCTGGTATTGCTTATGATGGAGGGAGAAGCGGTCATCACCAGGGAGGACGGGGAAGGGGAAGGGGAGGGGGGAGGCGAAGCGGAGCAGGAGGGGAAGGGGAGGCAAGGCGGGGAAGCTGGGGACAAGGGCGAGCAAGAGGGGAGTGGCAGCAGCAGTAGCAGCAGCAGTGGCAGCAGCAGAGACAGCAGCAGCCTCGGCAGCAGTGACAGCAGCACCAGCAGCAGCAGCAGCAATAACAGCATCAGCAGCAGCGGCGGCGGTGGCAGCAGTGGAGTGGCAGCAGCAGCAGCCACAAGCGATAGTTAAGATCAGGAGTGAGTAGTGTCTCGCATGGCTGGATGAAGGTAGCCGCATAAGAAATGCCTAGCTGTATGTGTCCATTTGTTTTTACAGAGGAGAGGGTATAGTGTATATGATGGAACTAGTTAGCCATTTCTTTAGTGCTGTAACGTGAACAACCTAAAGAATATTTGCAAGATTGGGCGTACCGTATTCATTTGATACTGCTCTAATTCTATCAGAGAATACTAGTAAGACAGCAGAGGCATCTAAGGATGGCACGGCAGTCATATATGATGGGAACTTTTATCGGCCCACGTTCGAAATGTTAAACCGCATCATTTGTTAGAACATAGGCATGTGAATAGGGCTCTGGTTAGGATTCTGGGTGCTCTTCCATGTAAGGCCACTGTCTCTCAACTACTTTTTCTGTCAGTGTGTGCCACAGAATGCACTTTTTCTGGTAAGGGTTGGGGGCTAGTTTACTTTTCCTTATCAGTGTGATGGTAAGAATCAGTTTTTCTCTTCTAAAACTACAAGGTACTAAACAACACTCCTAGGATGTTATACTGTAGCTACGTACGTAACCTAACCCTACAACTACCTATGCATGCCTACATAACATCATTAACAAAATCTCCAGCTGGGCGGCGCTTCTTGAGAGTATGAAAGAGTGCCGCAACGTTCGTCCAGTTCACATCTGCAGATGGGAGAAGCGCATATGTCATCTAATCTCCCAATCGTGCATCTGATAAACTGGTACGTGTACTGCTCTTAATGCGGTTTTGTCGGCTGAAACCGCGCTCGCACTCAACAGTGCTCAACGGGAGCACTGCCACCGCCTGCCATAAATGGACCATGTTCGGGTATGCACCGCCATAATCCGTTGACTGCAGCATCAGGGTCAGCGATTTGTAGAAGTTCAACGCCCCATGGTTGTTTTCCATGGTGTGCAGGAACAGTACCAGCTCCCTCTCGCACTCCTTGAACTGCACACCTGTTGGGGGGTGCGAACACAGATATGAATCCGTAAATGAATGCGACAAATTTTGAAAGCACAATGGACACACACAACACAAAATCATGCAACTGTACCTGGAAGCGCGTGGCGAAACATTTTGTCGAGCTGGCCCAGCCACTCTCGACACTTGCGCATGCGCTGACTCTTGTCATCCGGATACATGGTTGGACGGAAGATCTTGCCGCTGTTCAAATGTTCCAGATCCTCCAGCTGGTACTCAAGGCGTCCCTTCACCTCACGTGCGTAGTCCTGGCAGAGCTTCTTGCACGAGTAGTAGTCGTGGCCAGTTTTCTGGCCTTTGATAGGACGCTCGTGCAGCACGAACACGTGTTCAGCCGGATCACCATTCAGGTCCACACCCTGCACCTTTACCTCCCGATGCTGCGGATCTGCGTGCTTCTTCAGGAACTCGTTCAGCAGTGGGGATTGTCCGTTGCCAATTGAATCCTCGCAGTCTAGGTAACGGACTTCGATTGTGCGACACGCAAGGGAAACTTCACTTGCGACGATTGTAATGTCCACCTGCCAGGTTTAGAGACACAAGACAATGTTAGTTGTTGGGTTTTTTAGTGACTTAACAGATACCGCTTGCAAAATGAAAACATTACCTGAAGCTTCTGGAATTTGGTGTTCAACTCGTTCAGGATCGCCAGCAAATCTGCAAGTAGACGAGAAAGTGAAATTTGAAAGACGTGCATGTCTCATACATCTTTTTATCCTTCTCGTGCAGCAAGAACACAGTCGCCGGAAGCACTTTCGCGAACCTCTTCACCGCCTCTCCCCGTGATAGCCAACGCACGTCATGAATGCCCTGCAACTCGAGGTTCGTCTCGCAGACAACTTCTTGAAGTTGGCGGAAACGCCTGTGGTGGTTGGAGCTCTGCGACAGCATCGTCGCCACCGCCCGAACTCCCTTGTCAACGATTTCTAAGTCCATCAGCTTGGTCGCAGCATCTTTGGCGGCGAGCGCCTCTCTGCGAAAGGAAAGAATTCATGTTAGCCAGGTCGGTAGTAAGGGAGTTCATTGATGCATTAAACATTTCGCATGACATTCATTTTACATCTGCATTTTCCTACCGATGGGCGATGCAGTGATATGAGACGAGGTAGGGGTTCTTCGCGCGGAGACGAGCCACAATGCCAGCGTGCTGTCGAAACATTTTGTCATGTTTTATAATTGCTTGTAGTTGTAGTTAGTGTAGTTATGTAAACTTTTGTTGGTGGTGCACCTTATTTTGTTTCTATGCTATATGTACCCCTGAACCTATAGTGAAACCACCTTTTCACCAATTTCTCTCTCAACTCACTCGACATCGCTCCTAAGGAAAATACCGCTCGATACCTAAGTTCGGGCCTAGGCTACTAAGCCTAGGCCCCACCTTTTAACTCTTCATTTCTATTACTCTCGACATGTTATCGGAGCTTAGTGTTCGTCCTGGCCTGTGGGCCCGCTTTACTTCCGCTGCTAAGATTTTACGGTCGCGCGCCTAGGGCGCGTGACGGTTTTATTTTTACCTTGTCCCGCCCACGGGCGTGTGACTCCTTCCCTGCCCGTCGCGCGCCCCGTGGCACGCGACGGTGCCCTTCTACTGCCCATCGTGCGCCCCGTGGCACACGATGGTGCCCTGCTCGTCGTGTGCCCCGAGGCACACGATCGGGCCCTTTTATTCTACCCGTCGTGCGCCCCGTGGCACTGGCCCGCGACG